TAAGGGACTTTATATTCTCTATTATACCTTATTATCTATAATAATAAAATTAAATTTTCCATACTTAAAGTATCAAAAAAAAATAAATTGAGTAAATTGTGAACTTGGATCTCAAGTCCAGTTCCTTTAGTTCTCTCCGAACTATCTCCCTTCATTTCAAAGTTCATGGAATGGTTTTTGGTTTTCCTAACATGTACCACTGTATTTTAAATTTACACATCACCAGGACATTCTTTTTTCTTGCTCTCTTATTATTAGAACATGCATTTAATGCCTTCTGACAATCTAGCCATTGTAAACCTCCCAGGTTTATCAACTGTCATCATCCAAGTACCCACAGTGCAGATTTCTGGTATTACAATGGTTTTAAACTTTGTCCTTTGGATTTTTTGAAAATAAATTATAGTGTCTATTTACATGGATAAAGAGTGACCACTGTCTTTGGCTGGTTTTTGTTGATAATGAGGCCAAGACCAGGGCCTTCACTGAATTCCCACATGTGCTTGGTTACAAGCCACACTCAGGTGACAGTCAGTCTTGCAGTTGCTGCTATTGGTCACATGAAGACTAGGAAAGAGAGTGCATCAGATCAATATAAACTTATTTCTCTTGCAAAGCATAGCAACTTGAGGCACATGCATTATGAATATTGGGTCAGAAGCATTATCTTCATATTCAAAGACTAGCATATAATTATCAAGAACAGAAATGTAAAGAACATAAATAGCTTGATGATAGAATTGGTACACATTTTATTAGAAATTCTATTTGAAATCCAGAGAAGAGTAACTGAATGGATTAAAAACATATCAGATATTAGATGACAGAGAATATGAGAAAATTTCAACTTTTTTTCCAATTGAATTTAACAATGTTTTGCTCCTTAGTTGACTGATTGAATAATTTGCCTCTGCCAGGATGTAAATTCTCAGAGATACTTTCTGCCATTGTGCCAATCTATGACACAGCTAGCGTAGTATTTATATGCTGTGCTGGTCAATATCCTTCAGAAATGCCCAGCAGAACACAGGCACAAATATTCTCCTTCAACAAATACTCATCGAATATGAAATCAGACTTCTACTGATACTGAGGTACCAGTACTTCCACTGGTACAGAGTCATCTGGAGGGCTTGTTATGAGGCCTCATTCAGGATGAGGCAAAAGTTTTGAAGTTTGCATTTAAAAGTTTTTAAAAAGTCATGTATAAAGAGTGGCCGCCATGATGATTAAACACATTATATTGTGCCCTTATAAAATGTGATCAAAAACCACAAACTTTAATGACAATAAGTAATTGTTCTTATTTGGTCTGCTCATTCTGAAAAAACTGAGTCTTGTCCTATGCAACAGGGCTGGAGCAGTTGGAACATGCGTCAGTTGGAACATGTTTAAAAGCTAATGGATAAAATTGTTTTACATTTCATATAAGACAAATAGAGTAAATTAAGGACACATTTCTAGTATGTTCAGATATTCCAACAAGTAAATATCTTATATATCTCAGTTTGCTCCAGTATTTGTCAAACACATTTATTTTCATTTTGATAAAAATGTCTCAAAAATGCCTTAGTAATTTGCGCTTTGGTGAGGGAAATTTGGAAATAATGAATGTGAGCTAATCTCTTTGTGACTTAAGGATTCTCACTCGAAATCATCAGCTTTGGAGCTATGCTTTTATAATGTGATGCTCATTGGGTTTTTGAGGTATAATGCTTGTCTCTAAACTGAATTGCCCCAAACTACTTTATAGTAGTTGATTTCACTACCTGTGTTCTCTCCTTCACTCTTATTTTGTATTTCAGTATACCAAATTTACAATGTTTTTGTTGGTTTTGTTACCAACGGAAACATCAGGTGAATTAAAAGACACCAAGATAAGTACTCATCAAACTAAAAAGTAAATGCAATTCCACGTTATTTTTGCCCGAGGGTGGGTGGGTAAATTTAACATAACGCAGTCTTCTCAGTCTTGAGCATGCTTCAGAGTCATCTGGAGGGCTTGTTAAAATGCAGGTTGTCGGGTCCCACCCCAGAGCTGTTTCAGCAGATCTGGGGTGAGGCCCGAGAATGTGCATTTCTAGCACTTTTCCAGTGAATGCTGCCCATCTGAGGACTACACATTGAGAGCTACTTGCTGCTTAGAAAAGTGGAATGGGGATAGTTTAAAGAATCAGTAAGAGTTTAAGGTTTCAGGAAATGTCTGGAAGTCTGCAAGTAGAAAAAAGGGGAATGTTAATTTTCTCTTCACATATTGGGCATTATATTTATGGAACACAAAGAGGGAGCACTGTGGGACAAAGTCAAGGGAGTTATATAAAATGATAGATTACAGTTACGTGTTAGTTCACAAAATGATTTCCGGAAGATACATTAAATAATCCCAACATTATAAACTGATACCACATCGGGCAACCTCACTCTCCAAAATCCTCTCATGTTGCCTTTGCACTAAGCTGGCCTGGATGGCCCGTTGGTTGGACCCCATGTGGCATTCCTAATGTCTCTGTATTCTAATCCATTGGTTGCCACTAAAGTGCTTTGCCAACGGATTTTGTTCTCAGATAGTGCACAGCACTGAAGAGAAAATCACTTTGCAAATCCAGTGATTTCATGGGCCACTAGGCTCTCTGGATTCTCTATTACCCAGTTTATCTTTTGTTCATTTAATGCATCACAAACAACATTGAATTAGTTTGTTGGACAATTAGGTAAGATATTAAACTAAAGATGTACATATAAATATGTCAAGTCATTATTTTAAGAATATATCTGTAAGACATAGTTGGAGAAGGCTTTTTCTTGTGAACATTGTGAAGGCTTTTCCCCGCAACTCTCTAATAGTTCAACAGGTATCAACTTGCATAAATAATACTTCTTTCTCAGAGGGGTTCACAAGTGAGAAAAAGAATTTTCTATAATAGATGTTTAAAAAAATCACTTCCAAGGCAATTAGTTCTTGTAAATCTCCTGAAATAAACATCAGGAAATTAAATTGGTGTGTGTTTGTTACTAGAATGAACATCCACAAGCAAATCCAAGATTGCAAATGTTTTAGCTCAGGCCTAATTTCAAGTCTGTGAAAGACCCTTCCTCCCTGAGCTATGACCACCTAAAGTCCTCCTGCAGCTTCACCATTGCCTTAACTTTCAGCACGAATCCTGAAATGATGCTAAGGAGATGTACATGACTACATGTCTACAAGTTGTGGTTTCATCATTTTTTTCTTTGTCTCTGAGCTAATGCCGAGAAAACACCCTGGTTCTGCTAAGTGGATCTCAGTCTGTTACTTAGTCTCCTGCTCTCCAGTCACCCAAGTCTGATTCCTGAGCACCCAAGTCTGATTCCTCAGCTTGATTCTTTTTTGTTACGTGTCATTGCCCTCAGGAAGGGGTACCCCAGTCCTGGATCCTGGACCATTGTCTTGGACCCTCGTCTGAAATGCCAAATATTTCTAATTTCAATTTGCTATCCTTCTTTTAAGGATGAATTGTCTCATACTGCATCCATCTGTTTGGACAGGCCAACACTTAATTTGTAACCCTTCATGGGTATCTACTTAACTGAACTACAACCTGCTATCGCTTCATCTTGTCGGACAGGCTAGTGTAGTCTCGCTTTACATCTGTGATGGAATCTATCCACCCAGATCCTATTCAGTAATAGAGCCTTTTCTCAAATCCCAGCCCTTCCTCATCTGAGCTACATGACAATAAGTAATTAATTGGTCTTACTTGGTCTGTTCATTCTGAAAAAACTGAGTCCTTACTGAATAGAGTTCGTAAGGACTGAGTTCTTATGGAGCCATATTATACATGGGAGTGATGGACATGAACAAGGTACAATTTCTCTCCTGAAGAAACTTAATTAATTAATTAATTAATTTATTTATTTATTTATTTATTTATTTATTCTTTCTTTCTTTCTTTCTTTCTTTCTTTCTTTCTTTTTCTTTCTGTCTGTCTGTCTGTCTGTCTTTTTTTTTTTTTGACAGAGTCCCACTCTCTCACCCAGGCTGGAGTGCAGTGCATAATCTTGGCTCACTGCAACCTCCGCTTCCTGGGCTCAAGTGATTCTCCTACTTCAGCCTCCTGAGTAGCTGGGATTACAAAATCAGTCTGCCATCATGCCAGACTAATTTTTTATATATATATTTAGTAGAGACAGAGTTTTGCCATATTGTCCGGGTGGGTCTCTAACTCCTGACCTCAAGTGATCTGCCTGCCTCAGCCTCCCAAAGTGCTGGGATTACAGGTATGAGCCACCGTACCTGGCTCATTTTTGATGACAGGGCAAACAAGCAAACAATTGAAATATAGGTTGAGTATTCCTTATCCAAAACTCTTGGGATAAGATGTGTTTTGGATTTTTAAAAAAATCTTCAATATTTTCATTAAACTTACTGGTTGATATCCCAAATTCAAAAATCTGAAATCTGAAAAGCTTTAATGAGCATTTCCTTTTGAGCATGACCTTTGAGCATCGTGTCAGCATTCAAAAAATGTGAATTTCAGATTTTTGGATTAGGAATGCTCAACCTACACAATACTTTAACCATAAATTCTGAGAACCTTTCTTTAAAGGACGTAGTAGAAGAGGTCAGAGAATTGTCCTTCCATAAACATTCATTCTATCATTTGCTCAAACCCCACTGTGTTTCAGGCATTTTGTTAATACATCGGGAATGGACCCAGAAGGCCTTTCTGAGAATTGTGAGTTAGACCCAGATATTCACCCAAGCCCAGAGCATCCAAGACCTTTCGCCTCCAAATACCAATGATAATTTGTCTTGTGGTCCTAAGATGTTAATCAGAGCTGCTTATAATAGACAGCTTCTGAAAACGGCTTCTCTCCCCTGTAGCCCCAGATGGTCTACCCTGGACCCTGATGATGTTAGGTTGGAGAATTTTAAGTGCAGTCACTTTGTTGCCACTTCCACTTTCTTTCCAGAACCTCTGAATCAAATGTCAGCCTGTTTTCATTGTTCCCTTTCTGTTTAGCTGGAGCTGGATATACTGAAGGAATGAAAGTTTTCTGAGCTGACTGCACTGATAAACCTAGAAGGAGAACATGGTGATAATTGCTTCATAATTTTCAAAAGTCAGCATTAACTGCTGAGTAGCAGAGTGGACTTAAATTTGTGTTTTCAGTGGAAATGATCACAGTGATGTCCTTACTGCCTCCTAACTCATGAAAGGAACAACTGGCTGGTCCCTGGAACTCCCTGCATGACTGGTGATTGCCCACGGACTTCTAAAACCATCTTTACTCTGAAAATGTGAATGTTGCCCATGACCTTCGGCTGATGGATGATATCTGGGCCTGAGATGGCAATATCAGGTATTTCTGAAGACATCCTAGGGAAATGTAGGGATTGCCATGGTGCCTCTGAGCTTACCTCTAGAACAGACATTTTGATAAGCACTTTTGCTTCTTTCTCTGAATTCTAAATCAGCCCTAGATCGCTGGAGGATAATTCTGAAACAAGCCCTACCCAGTCAATTTTCCTGAAGTTTCATGAGGATTCTGAAGAGCGGTGACTGGTGTTGGACTGAAACCAAGGAGGAAGGCCAAGGAGAGGAGAGCACTCAGAGGCAGTGGGTGGACAGAGGTCATCCAGAGACTTGCAGAAAATAGGACCAAAGCCATGGCCCCAGACAGGAGTGGCAATCCTAAGTGCAGTTTTAGTTGCACTTTTGAGATAATGGAAGTACAAAATCCATCACTTAACCTCTTTTAACATCAGTTTATTCATCTGCAAAACATTGACATGCTACTTCACAGCATTCTTCACATATAATAAGAAACAGCATGTCAAAATACTAAACAAAGCTTAAGACGTGATGCAAATATACTATCAGAGTAGATTGTAGATTATAGTTCTATCACTTATCTCTTTCTTATTCATAAGAGAAGCTCTTATGAACATTGAGTTAATTATTTCTTTTCCCTCCTTATTTATGAGCATACATGTCTTATTCAAAGTGTAAAATATCACTTGGAAATTAACAAGGGGATCATATTCCCTATTTGTTCACAATATTTTGTCCCAGAATGATGCTTTTGAAAAAATAAAAGAACTGCTTATAAAATCGTGGTACAGTCAAGGCAGAATATAAACAAATGCTCACCAACCAACAGAAGAAATCTATCCTGCAATATAGATGACTTTCCCAGTGCACCATGATAGTTCCTTTAAGCTGTTATGAATTATTCCATAAACATGTATTTAGAGACTTTTAAATATGCAGATTATTGGCCTGAGAAACCATTTCATCTCCAAAGGAACATTTGCAGGCTGTCGTGCAAATCTGCATTTGAGGAACTTTCACATTATGATCTTAGTGAATTCTTGACCAGATAGACTTGAACAGCTGCCACCCATGCTTGGGAAGTCCCTTTGCTTGAGAAGACAAAATAGCTCATTTGTTTGCAATTCTTTCCTGAAAGTACACAAGGACAATTTTCTACATTGTGAATTACTTCTATCAGAGCAACATTTTCCCTGAAAGACCATAGCTCATTATGCTATTTAGAAACAAACAAACAAAAATGCATACAAACATTTTTTGGGGGGAGTTTTATAATTTGTGCCCAGAAGAGACAAGTTTCTTTTCAGATTAAGTTTTAAAAAATGTTCCTTTATTGCTGTTATGTTCAAGCTGACATGGAGGTTATAACTGAGAGAACCCCCCTCTGAAATAATAATGCCTTACGTTTGTATAATATTTTATACTTTTCAAAGTGCTTTCAGGCACATTATTTCATTTGATCTTCAAAACAGCTCAGTGAGGCAGGTAAAGTAGGTGTTTTTATTCATTTCTTTTTAGATAAGGAAATAGGTTCAGACTACAAATATTACCCGAGTATCTACTAACTCCATCGTATTGCGTGAGGTGTCACAGAGGATAAAATAACATGTATTCCTAAAAGAAGAATCTTGGTTTTAGATAAGACATAACAACACAAAGTTAAATAATACTAAATGTACAATATGGTTCAAAAGGTGACAAAAGACAATTTATGCTCATAGTATTAGAAGCATGAGCAAACTGTATTCTGGCAGGTTAAGGGAGACTTCTTAAAGCAGGTGCCACCCGAATATATATGCCTGGAAGGAGGTTTGGAATTTGGATTTGGCATCATAATCACCTACTCATATAACCTTAAAATAGAAGAGATTTTGGCATTCATCTAGTTTGTTCTGATACTAGATGTTGGCACTCCCTATAGCACCTTAAACAAAAATGTTGGAATAGCTGTGAGTCTTACAAATTCTATCTTATGAAATCCCATCTCTACTAAAAATAAATTTTAAAAACATTAGCCAGGCATGGTGACGGGTGCCTGTAGTCCCAGCTACTCGGGAGGCTGAGGCAGGAGAATGGTATGAACCCCGGAGGCGGAGCTTGCAGTGAGCCAAGATCGCACCACTGCACTCCAGCCTCGTGACAGAGCGAGACTCCGTCTCAGAAAAAAAAAAAAAAAATTCTATCTTATATGCAGCTGCAATCTCCAGTTCTATAATTCTACCCTCTGTTGACTAGAGTAAAACAAGACTAATCTATTTTCTCTTTCTGTGGAAAGCCTTTAATATGTCTGTAGTCAGTATAATAGCTTGATCTGCCTTTAGTCTTTTCTTCTTTCCATTTAATTTTAAAGCTTCTGGAGATACAGTCATTATTTTACTGCTGGGCCCCTATTTTATTTCCCCAAATTATCTGTAACTTTGGCCATCCCAAATTGATACACTGTTTTAGATATGCAGATTTGAATGAGGCTCTAAAAACTATTGTTATCTTTCCAATTCACTGCCAGCATGTCTGTTAATACTACTAGTTGTGAACAATTCTCACATATAAAAGTAACTAACTTTTGTGTAAAAGCAGCATAATTAATGTGCCTGGAATGAGTCATGGATGTCTTCCTAAAGAACAAAGGCCACCTTTCTCAAGAACAAAGACTGCGTTCGTTGTGATGGCTTTTTTTCTTTTTCTTTTGTATTTTTCTTAAGCCGTTCATGATCTATGCATGTCTGCACAGATGATACTTGCTTAAGGAACTAACACTAAAGCTCTAATACAATAACAATTTTTGGTATTTTGTTTCTCGTTTTTATTACTGGGAAAGTAAAAATTAATAGCTCATGTAAATTAATAATCCAATACTGACCCCTGGTGTGTAATGAAGAAATTGCTTACTGGATGAACTAGTGGATGCTTGGGAAAAGTTTTATGTTTTAATATAAGAGTATCTTTCTCCAAGTAAAGAAGTTTCCTAGGCTATAATTTAAAATGTGGAAATTGGGAAATGTCAAACTAACTAACTGAATGTAGAGAATGTCTCTATGGTCGTCTTTAGCAGTGGGTAAATAAAAAGAAAAGAAAGAACAGCTGACACCAGAACTGTCCCATTCAAAAATGTTTTTTACAATTCGGCCAGCGTTTAAGAAACTAAGCACAGTGAGTTGAGAATGAATGATCTACCCTCCTTCACTTCACTATATTTGAATCAGACTTTAAAAACAAACAAACAAACAACAAAAAAAAAACCTCTTTTGAATTTCTCTGAGTCACCTCCTCAGACGGTAGATGTGTCTTCATTGCCTGCCACTCCCCAAAGTGTCTCTCCATTTATTTCAGACACAAGATCCCAAAGTCACAATTTTCTAGTCTTACTTGCTCTTCTTTGTTATCTTGTCATTTTCTAAAGCTATACCATATGCCTGCTTTACCATTCAAAGGTATAGTATTTGTTAGGCTGGTTCTTGTTTCAGGTTTCTCATTCTCCTTCCTATTTTCAGTATGTGCCCTTCCCTCACACCCTATGCTCAAGACAAATTATCTATCCAGCATGTCCCCCATTGGTAACTTCTGAGAAGAAGTACTGCAGAGTGGACAGATGGGACTGGAATGAGTCAGTCACTTTGCAGATACAGGTGTAAGCCATGCAGGTTTAGGCCTCTACTGCCACCAGAGACCCTATTGATGGCCTATTCCCTCCTGTAGCAGAGCTCATAGAACCTTAGAAATTCACCTGTTGAGGGAGTATCACTGGGCCAGTCATCAATGAACCCAGATTCCAATTTAATCCTGGCATTGCCCCTGACTTGTTATGCGACTTTCTGCAATGCAGTTCAACTCCTAGGTTATGAAACTTCTATCTTATAATCTGTAACAAAGGGTGATTACATTAGACGATTTCTAACATCCTTTGTAGTACTCCAATTCTATAACTCTATACATGTGGATTCAAGAGGGTAGCTCAAACCCTGGGTTCTTCACTTCTTGCAATGCTCTCTCAATTCCCTTCTTCTCCCATCCTCTGGTTTGTCCATATGTTACTGTACTTGCGTACTTCCTATGTACACTAAACCATTATATGGACTACACTCTACTGTATCTATTTTTCTATCTTTTTTTTTTCATTGAACTGAGATATGGTAGGCTGGGATGAGCTCTCTATACCGAGATATATACAGTAGGCTGAGACGAGCTCTCTATACTGAGATAGATACGGTAGGCTGGGACCAGCTCTCTATACTGAGATAGATAATGGTAGGCTGGGACGAGCTCAATATACCGAGGTATATACAGTAGGCTGAGACGAGCTCTCTATACTGAGATAGATACAGTAGGCTGACACTAGCTCTCTATACTGAGATAGATAACTGTAGGCTGGGATGAGCTCTCTATACTGAGATATATACAGTAGGCTGAGACGAGCTCTCTATTCTGAGAGATACGGTAGGCTGGGACCAGCTCTCTATACTGAGATACGGTAGGCTGGGACTAGCTATCTATGGAATGAATGAGAAAATAATGCATATCTTGTCTTTATCCTGCAGGTCTGTCTCTGCCACATATTTCTGAGGAGCTCCTGAGTCTGGGAAACTTTGGAGTCAGCACTGACCTTTTATCCTGGTTCTACAAACCAGATCACATGCAAGAATGTTGCTTCTTAAAAATTCTCAAAAGTGATGAATAGCTGTAGTCCATGCTAAAGGAAAATGGAGAACACCAGGTTGTTAGTGAGAGTTGAATCACTCTGAGTGATGGAGTGAGAAGTTTTATTAGGTTGGTGCAAAAGTAATTTGCAGTTTTTTACATCAATTTTAATGGCAAAAACTGCAATTACCTTTGCACCAACCTATAGTTCACAGAGTCAGGTAGACTAGGTAAAGGCAGGCAGAAAGCAGAGACAGGGGAAGTGGAGAAGAGTTAGTGAAATGATTTGACTTTGGAGACAATGGGGTGAAGGCCCAGAGAAGGTTCCACAATCTTGGGGTGGCCATAGGAAAGTTTTAAAACTCAGAATTTAATTTGACTCAATTTGTTTGCCAATTCAACTCTCAATTTCTAATTTGCAATAAACTTTTCTATCTTCACAAATTCTTTACCCATGGTAGGTTTTTGTGGAAAACAATAAAGGTGATGAACATTCTGTCTGGGTCAATGGTTCTTGATCTTCAAGACCCTTTAAAATCACTTGGGGAACTTTTGAAATCTGCATGCTGACGTCAGACTCCTGAGTGATTACAACAGAATCTCTGCAGGTGGGACCCAGGAATCAATATAACTTAAAAGATCCCAGGTGAATCCAATATGCAGCTTGCTTTGGAATGAGTTATTGTGAAACAATAGACTACAGTGGTCAACGTGAACTCATCTGAGAGACTCCTCGGCAATCATGTCTGCTTTGTTCTTTAATCAGTTCTGTTCCACATTATTGGAAACACCTATTTTAATTTTATAAGCCTCCATTTTTCTCAAAACTTCCACCTCCAATTCCATGTGTACTCTCAACTAATGACTTCTCTTCTACCTTTCAGAGATAATTAGAGCTCAACATGAAAAATTTCTTTATTTCCTGTCACCAAATCTGTAAATGCGTTTTTTCTTAATTACTTTTCATTAGTGCCTTTCTATCAACATTTGACCATCCAAAATAATCCATCTCTAGAAAGTAACAATACAGAAATATAGGGTGTGTGTTTGTTGGAAATAAAATAATACTAACAAAGACCTCTCTGAACCAACATAGAAAAGAGAACACAGTTTATTACGACATGAACATGGTCAGATTTCTATGCTTGTAGGTACTACAAAAGTGACTAAAAAGTCTATAGAGACTTTCACATAATTTATTTAGCAAAGCAGAAGTGAGAATAACTTCTCATCTCCTCAAGAGACAAAGGGCTACATCCTAAGATAGTCTTCTTGGGAAAAACTCCCAAGTAAGTTTTGAAGGCATTTATTTACAATTCCAAGGATCAGAAAGTCTGCATTCTTCCATTGCAAAATTAAAAGAGTAAAATTATTTGGACCTATTAAGATTTCAAGGAAATACTCTAAGGAAGAGAGGATGGAAAGATAGTGACCTCCAACCTCAAAAAGGTCATCATTTTACCCTTATGGTATGCTTTGGTTGGCATATGCATATGTATTTCTTAGCTTTGTGAAGTGAGAAAACCTAGAACACCTAGCCTCTAGACCTTTGTATCCAAACACTATTTCTCCATGACAGAAACTCATGCTCTTTGGGGAAATGGTTAATTTTTGGAATAGGGAAAAATGGTTAATTCCTCTGTCTACAGAAGAAGGCTGCCTCATGTGGATTGAAGCCACAACTGAGTAACGGCTTCAATGCATGTAGGTGACCCACGTGGGGTGTCAGAATCAAAACAAAGTGAGGGAGCATCCAGATAGATGTATTATCCATCACCTGGTGTCTAAACTCAACAGGCTAGTGGGAAGAGAACCGTCACCTGGTGTCTAAACTCAACAGGCTATTAGTACCTATGTAAGGCAATGGCACAGAATGGGATAAAAAGGATTTGCATGTAGAAGAGGTAGATCATTATGGGATTTTTCTGGTCTAAATAGAATGAAAGGGGCATCTGTATAAGAGGGCTCCAAGGTGCCAGGTATCAAAGCCAAAGAACAGGAGAAGGAGTCCGTGCAAAAGTGGTGGCAGAATCCAGGCAAGATGAAAAGGGCATCATCACAGTGATGTAGCATGTTTGGCGTGTCAGAGCCTAACTGAGCAGGGTCGGGTGAGCACCCACATGGGTGTAGCTGAGGAAGGATGAGAAGAGTATCTATGTGAAATGGATAATAATCTAGGGGTTAGGTCGGAGCCCAAGGATGGCATCCAAGAATGAGGGTGGCCAAGCATGAGGTGTTGGAGCCAGAGTAGAGTGAAAAGGGTAACTACACACAGGGGTTAGCTTAATGTAGAGTGCCAGGGTCTTGAATGGGGTCTTGGGATTAGACAGTGCAGGGTATTAGCGGGAATACAACCAATGCTGATAGTTGT